ATGGCCCGCCAATGACCATCGGTATGTTCATCTTTTTGATTGTGTTACGGAAATTTTGGGACACCCATTACTCAAAAGTCTTCAAGGCTATGGATGTAGGCAACAACATTGTAATCCATAACATCATCATTGATATCTTACTTTGGTCACAACTTAAATCAGTCAAGCTCAAGGATCACACCGGAATGTGGCGTGATAACCGTTCTTCACACTCAATGTGACTCTGTAACAACACTTATTTTTGGAATATATCCATGCGGGAAGTATTTCCCTTGACAGTTTCTTAAAATAAATCCTTAGGCTGGACAAGAATCATTGTTTTTTTCACACTTAGGAATGACATCGGATTTTCTCAAGCGTGAAGCACGGGGTAGCCAACCAAACTAGTCCATAAAGGAGAGGTGTTGGAAGAACCTCGATTGGATTGGTTGCATCCGGGTTTTGGTTACCGGATGAAATACTGTGGTTACCACCTGGCAATCAGAATTACCTATCCCCTCTAGTGGATGAATTTACTAGTTGAAAGCCCCTGTGTTCAGAGTAAATAACTAAAGTACTTTGGAGGTGGTGGCATCGAATCTCATTGCCAGAACATTTTTTTGTCAATTTTTAGTTACGCGTGAATTTTGTCAATTTTTCAATACAGCATGAATAAAAGGAGGACATCCTCACGAGGATGATTTAAAGAGCAGACTATTGAATTCATGCTCCAATCAACTCATCCAAAAATCTGAACTGATGAAGGGAGGCGGGCAATATATTTCAACACAGACTCCATGCCAAAGGAGATAGGGCTCCAACCAGTTGACTAGGGCTGACACGATGTATGTTGTGTGGTTCTTAAGCTTGTTACTATCAACACAAGTAAATAAATTCAAATTTTATTTGATTTTTTTATGAAACCTCAAAAGGTTCAATCCATTAAGAAACCAGAAGAGATTTTTTTTCCAACTATTTACAGAAAAATAAGCGAAAACATTTAACATGCCCAGAAGATAGGTCACCACTGAAGGTGAGGAGAGCAACATACAAAGATCACAGACCGTTGCAGGAAAATAACATAGAAAAAAGACAAAAATGCTAAATCCACATATGGTCAAAAAAGATTTACGAAGACTTCCAAAATTACTAAAAAAAGAGGAGCGCAGCTTGCAAATGCCTAACTCTTCAAACACGATAGAAGCCGTTGACCAAGGCAAAGGTGAATGTTGACTTGGGGGCAACAAAGAGCATAGCACCCAAAGGAGCCATTGCTTGCTTTGAACGAAGGCGAACCTTGCCATGGTACCATTCTTTCAACACCAAAGAGGCTTCCCTACCCTCTCACCCTATCTTGAAAAGCATCGGCCCCCCGAACAAAAGAAAGCTCACATGGAGCACACATGGTCACTAGAAACTAGACCACCAAGAAGAAGAGACGCTTTGCCCGATCATCGTTGCCAGCCACACCATGTCGAAAACAGCACCGCCGTCACCATCCACGGACTACACCCCCAACAACCCGCTGAAAGGGACATGCTCTAGACAATGCCTCCAAGGAGTGAAGATGCTACGGTGCCTCCGCTGCCCGGTAGGACAAGCCGGCCAATGGTTTTCACCCAGAGCCAAAGGTGAAGGATGACAACCCATAGTGACACCTCCAGGGAGGGGAAAGGACACTCAAGAGCATCATAGGCACCAACATCGTCAGGCTGAGTTAGAATCGGCCACTAACCGCACAAAGTCCACCGGTCACCCTCTGATCGAGATTACATGTCATCGTAATTACCTTTTTCCGAGTGAGCGACTCCAACTTCACTAGGCCAACAAAGAAATTGAATCATTGGGTTGCATCTATATTTGTGGGAAAATGTATACCTACGCATAACTTACTATACAGTCTTGCTAAATCTCAGTCGACTGAGACTTCGCTAAATCTCAGTCGATGTTATATCCATAAGATTTTACATTAAGATCCATGAAAAAATTTCTTTTTAATTTTTTTTTTGTATGTTATGTCACTTGACCAAGACTTGGTTAAATTTCAGCCAATTGAGACCTATCCATACCCCTTACTAAATTCTTACGTAACATTCCTATAATCTCTTTCCAGCCCCTGATTTCAACTGTGGGCCCCCCTCTCCCTGATTACATCCAATCAAAATAGCCCACCTGATGCTTTAGGTATTGTTAATAGCACGTTGCGTTGTCACGCCATTGTCTCCGTGGACGCTTTGCTTCATTCACTCACGCCCCCGCCATTGTCGTTGGCGCTATGGCCCGAAACAACAGACGTACGCGTGCCAAATTAAGGCAGCCCCAAAGGACCGTGCCCTCCGACCATTCCTCCCGTCACCTCTGTCCTCCCCTCCACATCTCTCCCGGCGCGTGGTCGGTCGGGGGCTGCCATTGGCCTCCGCCGCCACCGCCCGGACCTCGTACGTCGGCCGATCACCCGATCAACTAACCAGCCTGCAGACCCCTAAGCACGCACGTCGTACGTCTCCCCATCTCCGAAAATGCACCGGTGGCTCATCGGCAGCTGCGGCGACATGCGCCCGCCCCGCCGCCGCATCCAGGAACCGCAAGTCCAAGGTACCAGCTGCATGCGCCGCTCACGTTCTCGGATCTTAGATTGCTCCGGCGTACGTGCACCATGCATGCATGCGTGCGCGCGCACGCTCTAGAGAGTGACATTTTGGAATTCCTTCGTGTAGAGGAGCCTCGGCCGCGTCGGTGCACGTCGTCGCCGCCGAAGCTGAGGAAGACGAGCTCGGAGCCGATTATGCTCTCCCTGCCCAAGGACCTGGCGGAGTTTCGGGCGATGTCGGTGTACGGGAACCTCAAGCTCTTCACGTACGACCAGCTCAGGCGGGCCACCGGCGACTTCAGCCCCACGCAGATCATTGGCGAGGGCGGCTTCGGCGTCGTCTACAAGGGGGTCATTGGCGCTGTGGTGGTCGCCGTCAAGCGGCTCAACCCGGACGGCATTCAGGGCGACCGCGAGTGGCTGGTCAGTTTCTATCGAAATGTATAATCCACTATCACCAATTCACTCTTTATGGAAAAAACTATCACCAATTCACCATGGCACATTGAATCTTTACGAAACCAAAACACGGGAAGTTGCAAAACAAAAATCTGCTTGGAAGAAAGTGAGTTTCCGTGTAAGATACAAAGGGATTTTTAGTCAGGTTCAGAGATCTTGTGTGCATGCAGACCGAGGTGAGTTGCCTGGGGCAGTACAGCCACCCGAACCTGGTGGAGCTCATCGGCTACTGCTGCGACGACGACCACCGGCTGCTGGTGTACGAGTTCATGGCCAAGGGCAGCCTCGAGAACCACCTCTTCCGACGTACGCACACCCACACCAACGATCCCACCCACTTCTTACATACTGCATGCTGAACATCTGTTTCATCACCATCATCGGATGCACCAGGCGCGTGCACCCTGTCATGGACAACCCGGGTGAGGATCGCGCTGGACGTGGCGAGGGGGCTGGCGTTCCTCCACGGCGCGGCGCGGCCCATCATCTACCGCGACTTCAAAACCTCCAACATCCTCCTCGACGCCGACTTCGGCGCGAAGCTGTCAGACTTCGGGCTGGCCAAGGAGGGGCCGGTGGGCGGGAAGACGCACGTGTCCACCCGGGTGATGGGCACCTACGGCTACGCGGCGCCGGAGTACATGGCGACGGGGCACCTCACGGCGATGAGCGACGTGTACGGCTTCGGCGTTGTGCTGCTGGAGATGCTGGTGGGGCAGCGCGCGCTGGAGCCGAGCCGGGCGGGGAGGGCGGGCAACCTGGTGGACTGGGCGCGCCCGATCCTCATCCGGGGCAGCAAGCTGGAGAAGATCGTGGACGCCCGGATGGCGCAGCAGGGCGCCTACTCGGCGCGCGCGCTGGAGCGGGTGGCGCGGCTGGCGTACGACTGCCTCAGCCAGAACCCCAAGGTGCGGCCCGCCATGAGCCGGGTCGTGCTCGTGCTCGAGGCGGCGCTCGCCATGCCGCCGGAGGAGGAGGGCGACGGCGATGGAGGCCGTGGCGGCGGCGACGCCTCCCCGACTCCGGCCCGGTGATCGATGTGATGTACGCGATGTTGTGTATGTAGGTTTTTGTTTTGGTAACTGCGAGAGGATAGGTCTGTGTGTGTGTGTGTAAATTTAAATGCGGAGAGAAAGCGCGGTTGTGGACAAACTACTCAAATCGTTTTTTGTTCAAAAATAAAATGTGTTCGTGATGGATACGGGAAAAAAAATCGTTTTTTGTTCAAAAATAAAATGTGTTCGTGATGGATACGGGAAAAAAAATCGTTTTTTGTTCAAAAATAAAATGTGTTCGTGATGGATACGGGAAAAAAAATCGTTTTTTGTTCAAAAATAAAATGTGTTCGTGATGGATACGGGAAAAAAAAGCACTGTGTGGCTGCTGGGATTCGAGCCCAGGTCTCCACGGCCACAACGTGAAATTCTCACCACTAAACTACAGCCACATTGATGGACAGAAACCGTTACTACGCGTAATATACCATAGACACCAGAGGACGCAGTACGGAACCTACTGTCTCGTTTCTTCCTGGGAAATTGACAGTGACATTGTGATCTATATTACGTGGACTCATGTTACACATTGCTCGGCCCTGAACACCAGCGCCTTTTCGATCTGAAACAGCTTCCCACTCACTCTACATGGTTTGTATTTCTGAAACATGTGCAGGGCATACAGTAGAAACGAGCACAATCGGTGCATACAATTCTCCAGTCCAAGCTCACTTGCCAGCTGCAACTTTACTGAAACTAAACCCGCCTGAACCAACAGAACAACAACAAGGCCTCTCAACTAAATTTCTCAAACCAGGGGCACCGATATGAAACATTGCCATGATGTATTTAGCAGACTTGCTTTATATTCCAATACATTCATCAGTACCACAAAAAGCGACTAGTATCCCGTATGCCCAACTTGAATTCTCGGTATTGCTAGTTACATGTTGGGATGGGCAGGTACATTGTATGTATCACCAGCTTCCTCGAGGGGCCTGCGGCGTCTGTTGAACAGCCGCTAGCGGGTTCATCTGGACGGAGAACGCAAGCTGGAGGGCATCGAGGAACGCCCGTCGCAGGGACGAAGCGTGTTGGAACACCGCCCTGTCAGCGCAGATTCATATGAAAAACATTCAACTGTATCAGAAAAACCACAGAAGATGCTCTGGATCGTTTGGAAGTCTGTCTGCAGCAGCTAGATGAAACCTTTACCTCTTCAAGCCGGCGCCTTTCCTCCGTAGAACGTAGACTGTCGAGAACAGCAGCGAGAACAGAAGCATTAGCTTACCACTTGGTAGAACAATATGCATTCTGCCAAACTTTACGCGCACCGAATGGAACCACCAAAACATGGGATCAAAGTTATTTGGGACGCGCTGAAGGGAAGGCTCAATGTACTTTGGTAAGCCATTTGTTTTCACATTGGGTGCACGTGTGGTGCTTGTCGGAGCATCCTCATGGGTTGCTGGTGTTGGGCTTTTCTCAGAAGCGGAAAGGTTCCTCTCTGCTGATTGTTTTGCTCCTGTAGCAGTGGATGACTTTTCATTTCCAGCTGCTTGAAGTTCATTAAGTTTTTCTAGCAGCTCCTGTGGAAAAATTAAGAAACAACTTAATGATGCAAACAAATGAAAACTTAGGGAAGAATAAATGCAGAGACAACAGAATTCCATGATCAATATTGTAAGAAAACAATATGAAAATAAGGGAAGTCCTAACTCAGCATGCTATAGTTATCTACAACTAACATACTCCATCACAAAAATTACCTGTCGATCTTGCTCAATCAATTCTGCCTTTTTTACCCATGAGATGGCATTTTCAGGCTCATGAGAGGCAATGCTAAGGAATGTAACTGTATACAATTCCACCACCTCCAAATACTCTTCAGTTGTCATAGTTGATGTAACAATAAGACCATTCGAAGTTATTTCCTGTTCTCCATTCAAAACATAAACTTGATCATCTGTGTATCTCCATTTAGCAAGGAAGTCCTCAAAAATTGGTCGAAGGTCAGGCCCAGAACCTTCTGCCATTAGCATGGTAGCCCTATATGGAAGATACATGTCAATGGTACAGAAAGGAGGAACCGCGAAGTAAAACCAAGAACACATGAGAATTTTATGTAACAGCTACCCTGTCAGGAAAACCTTCACCGGTATTGATGCCACTGAACCATACATAGCTTTAAGCTGAACAAACATCTCAGTTGTCCTGGAACAGTTAGCATATGTGTTAAACATATATTAGAATAAAAACTAGGTACCAAAAATTATGCAAATGTTCTACACAATAACAAAGAATGTCTATATCATCACTATTTAAGGACTTCATGATATAGCATATGGCTTTTCATAAGCATCCATATAAAAATAGCTGAATAAAGAACTTTCTATTCCACATATATATCATCTTCATTTGCCTGTTCCTAGGGAAGCTAGCAATTGAGGCACGTGTATGAATGTCCATTCATACGAAACATCTGGTAATAAGTGAGACAGTTTAATTCCCAACGTGCATTTATAAGACACATTTGGTAACAAGTGAGACAGTTTAGTTCCCTTTTTATTAGGACTACTTTTAAGGTGGTTCTGGCAAAACAATGCATCATCATATATAGCTGGCAATGACGGTTTTCCTTTTGCAAATACATTAACCTCATTAAGAATTTTGCTATATTAGCAGTATTAGATTCTGGTTGATCAACATCCTTATCTTGTTACAACACATTTACAGAAACTGGAAATTAATTAGAACAAATAGTAGCTTATCTATATCTATACCACTATATAGTGTGCGAATAACTTTGAATAACAACCATTGGATGAAGCCGATCTAACGGTGGAGACGTGGCAAATCCGAGTGTTATTGACCGTTGGATCTTCTCATTACTTCACTGGATTCTTCCACGTGTACTATCTAGAAGATTCTATGGTTGGGCTAAAGCCATATGGACATTTTGCACAAAATTTAAAGCACTTCTACTTTATTCTAGACTCTTCCATACTCAGACTCTCCTAACTTCTTTTTCTATCGAAACTATCATTCATTTTACTTCGTATTCAAGTCTATGTACCTTCATAAATCATATTTATCTTTACAGATACTGTAGAACATTAGCTTTGAGATAGCCAAAAAAGATACCTAGATAAAACACGCTCAGTATATTTTACGTGATTTTTGTATGTTATACTTCATGCATATGCCTCACAATTTCATTTGCCGGCATAACTAGCCAAAAAGGATACCTAGATAAAACAGGCACAATATATTTTACAGTAACAATATGTCTATCTTTGGTTGTAGTTTGACTATATGAGCTCTCACGTGCTATGCACGAACTACTAGTATGCAACAAAAGGAGAAAAGAAATAGGATTTACCTTCTGAGCTCTTTAAGTGCTTGAACGAGTACAATGCCAACTAATTCGAGCATCTCCAAAAGTTCATCATCATCCCATACTCTTTCTCTATTGGCCGCTCGAATTTGATCAGACACAGACAATGCAGTCAAAACCGCTTGGTCGAACGATCCGCTGACCAGATAGCTGAACCATGATAATTGCAACAAAGTGAACAAGTTCCAATCTTTTTATCTCCCCCTTTGGAACCTTGTATGCTAAAACTTAAACTAAAATATGAATACACCATGGTCACCTACGCATCATCGGCAATTACAAGAAAGGAAGTGCCAATTTCTACCTAGCAATTAGCATGGAAAGCATGTCCATTGACTGGTCTGAGTAAATCTTGTTACACTTCCAAAGTGAAGGAAATTGCATATCATACTTTGCTGCTAGTAATGCTGTAGAAAGACAATTATAGTTCATTCATCCAATTACATGGTGGTGAGAGGGTAGGATGAACACGTATGCTAACAAGAACGACCACGAAGCACATGAATGAATATGAAACGAAGTGAGAGCAGAGCAGCGGGGCAGAGGGAGGAGGGGGAATCTTACCACTCGGCGTCGTCTATTTGCTTCCAGAGATCCGTTCCCTCGGCCGCTGAGGTCCCCATGGTTCCCGGTCCCTGCCTCCACCTCACGAGTAAATTCCTAGCTCTTCCTTTCCACCCGCCGGAGACCGCAGGTCAGGGAGGGGACGCGCCGTGCTGCGGCGGAGAGAGGGAGAGATGGTCAGGGACGGATTCGGCGGGGAGAGACGGAAATTTGTTGGGATTGCGAACGGAGTGGATAGCTGATGCGGGGGGGCGTTTCTATACTCACCGGAAGAAAGGTTCCAGCACCTCGAGAGGGAGAAGGAGAGGAAGAATCGCTTGCGTCAGCGAGCTCCAGCGGCGGACGGGGCGGAGTGGAGCCGCGCCGTCGAAGTCGTCGGCGAGCTGCGACGGGGACGGCAGGCTCCGGTGGCGTCGTGCCCGGGCCGGCCTCCTGGGTAGAGTTGGAGTCGTGATGTCGACGGGCGGGCAGCCCAATCGGGCCGAGCCGTGGAGTGTTGTCGTTCGATGGGCCTCCGTGTACATTGTTGGATCAGTTTACAGCCCATGTAACGGGTACCACCTAGACTACTGTTAGCATGTGATTCTCAACAACAACAAAAAAGAATTCTCAAAAAAAAAAAGACTGTTAGCATGTTATAAACTAATAAAAGAAAACTAGATGCTAGCATTTAGAGTTTCAGATTTACCTCAAAAAAAAGTTTCAAATTGTACATTGAGAGCAAGTTTAACTGCCTCTTTTCGAATAGTTCTTTTGGGCGGCTTAAAAAATAAGCTACCTCTACCCAGCTTAAAAAATAAGCCGCTTCATAAATTTATTGAGACTTCTAAATTAGTTATCCCAAAACTAGTTCAGCAAACCCAATAAATGAGGGAGGTGGCTTATGGAAAAAAGTTGGGGAGAAAGCAGCTTATTTGTTAAGCCGCCAAAAGAACTAGCTCATGGACGGGTGGATCGAGTTGATCCTATCAATGGATGGGAAGGAAGTTCTTATAAAGTCAGTGACGCAAGCATTGCTACCTCGAGGACCGTGTGAGCATATTGATAGATTATTGAGGCAATTTTGGTAGGGTGCAAAAGTAGGAAAAAGGAAGACAGTGTGGGTATCATTGAATGATATGACGCAGCCAAAGTATATGAGAGGATTGGGTTTCAGAAAGATTGACCTTTTCAATTTGGCCACGTTAGCTAAACAAGTGTGGAGACTAATCTGTCACCCTTTATACTTTAGTGCTCTAATTTTGAAGGTGGTGTACTATCATATAGATGACTTTTTAACTACTTAGCTAGGGGCAAAGCTATCCAAAATTTGACGGATTCTGGAGGGCAGAGAATTTTTAAAACAGGGTCTGCTTAGAAGGATCGGTGATGGACAATCTATGCACATATGGACAGATGACTGGATCCCAAGAGAGGCCATGATGAAACATGTTGTGCAACTGAAGTCCGCAATAGTTATGGTGGCCGGTCTAATTGATCATGCCAACCAAGTATGGAAGAAACAAGAGCTTAGTGAGCATATGTTAGTGCTGGATGTGGAGAGTGTACGACATATCCTTTGGCCACAACAGTTTGTGTGGACTGTTTAGGTGGCGGCTCTTGTCACAAGTTTTGAGAAGAGCCTCATCACTCCAATCAGATGTGTCGGCATCGACTTTGACTGCGTTCTTCTGAGTTTCTAGCCATGTGTTCTGCTTTCCTCCTGAAATACCTTAGACTCCCTCTGTCGATTCACTTCCTCGAGAAAATTGACCTTCAGTACATTGTTGACAAGGTTGTGGGGAAGCTTGTGGCTTGCAGGGGCATTTTGTCACCGTTGTTGGCAGGACGTTGCTGGTCAAATCGATGCTCACCTCCCAATGTACCTATCTCATCATGGTTTTTGTCCACCCCCCCCCCACCTAGCCACCCATCCGAAGCCCACCCTGAATACCTTCAAGAAGATTAGCGGGCATTCCTTTGGTCCGACTCTAATAAGGTCTCTGGCGAATAGTGCAAAGTTAGTTGGAATTTGGTTTATAGGCCTAAGAGGTTGGGTGGCTTGGGCCGCAAATATGTTTGAGCTTGAGATGGCCTTGGTTCACGTGGAAGGAGCCGAGCCGTGCTTGGGTAGGCCTTGGTAATCCATGTAACAGTTGAAAGGATCGATATGGTTGACTAGAGGGGGTGAATAGGAAACTACCAATTTTTAGCTTTTCTTTACCAAATTAAACTTTGCATCAAAGTAGGTTGTCTAGATGTGCAACTAGGTGAGCAACCTATATGATGCAATAACAACAAGCATACAAGCAAGCAAGGGTAGAAACAATAAAGAGATTGCACAAGTAAAGGTAGGAGATAACCAAGAGTGGATCCGGTGGAGACGAGGATGTGTTACCGAAGTTCCTTCCTTTGAGGGGAAGTACGTCTCCGTTGGAGCGGTGTGGAGGCACAATGCTCCCCAAGAAGCCACTAGGGCCACCGTATTCTCCTCACGCCCTCACACAATGCGAGATGCCGTGTTTCCACTATTGGTGCCCTTGAAGGCGGCGACCGAACCTTTACAAACAAGGTTGGGGCAATCTCCACAACTTAATCGGAGGCTCCCAACAAGACCACGAAGCTTCACCTCAATGGAATATGGCTCCGAGGTGACCTCAACCGTCTAGGATGCTCAAACACCCAAGAGTAACAAGATCCGCTAGGGATGAGTGGGGGAATCGAAAATCCCTTGGTGGAAGTGTAGATCGGGGCCTTCTCAACCACTCCCGAGCAAATCAACAAATTTGATTGGCTAGAGAGATAGATCGGGCGGAAATGAAGTTTGGAGTATTTAATGGAGCTTGAGCAATAAATGGAGCTTGGGGGAGGAAGAGGTAGGTGAGAAGGAGGAAGGGGACTCCCTTTTATAGTGGGGGCAACAATCTCGTTGCCCCCCACCAACCAGCCCCGCACAGGGCGGTACTACCGCTGAGAGGGGGCGGTACTACCGCCAGGCGACGGTACTACCGCGCCAACCAGCGGTACTGCCGCGTTGAGGAGACTTAGTAGGGAACGGACCCAAATGCGGTACTACCGTGGTGGTAGGGCGGTACTACCGCTCTTGGAACGGTACTACCGCCACTACAACCGTGACTAGTGCCGCAAAACCCGACACGAGAAAAAGATCTCTCGAATCGAGGCGGTAGGAGCCAAACTACCCAGCGGTACTACGGCAGTGGAGTCAAGGGCGGTAGTACCGCTGTGGAGCGATACTGCCGCTTGTGACCCTTCGGTCGTAGTACCGCAGGCAGTGCGGTACTACCGCTGGGGCGCGCGAGAGAGAGAAGGGATCTCTCAAATAAGCTGAGGACCAGCGGAGGTGCCAGGCCCCCAGCGGTACTACTATTGTGGAGCCACGGCGGTACTACCGCTGCGAAGCGGTACTGCCGCTTGTGGCTTCTCAGCGGTACTACCGCTGGGTGTGCGGTACTGCCGCTTAGACCTAGACAGAACAAGGAAGAGAGGAGAGATCTCTTCAATGGACAGGAAAAGCTCGGAGGGTGAGAAGCTGATGTGTACGTGATGATTCCACCCAAGCAAAACCCCAGCGGACCCCCTCTTGATAGTACGGTGCCCTCTACGCAACTAGTCCACCTAGAAAGAAACGAAAGAGCTACACCGTCTTGAAATACACTCCGAGGGGAAGAAAGCGTCTCGTGCCAGGGGAGAATCTGAGAATAATTCAACGCACAAGATTAGTCCGCAAACATGTTGTCATCAATCACCAAAACTACCTTGAGAGAGATATGCTGTAACAATCTCCCCCTTTTTGGTGGATTGATGACAACAAGGGATTTGCGCAAGGAAAAGAATTAAAACCAATAAAACTAAGAACTACAAAATATAGAGGGGCTCCCCCAAAATGTGTGCACCAAGATAAGGCACGACACACACATTCGGATCAACACTCCCCCTATATTTTATAGTCCAACAACACTAAGCACAAGATATATGAGAGAAGAGAATAAACAGGACAAGCATGCATCTCAATATAAACTACAGTACTCTGAAGAGACATAAGTAATAAGGTAGCGATAGGGAGCATATGTCTTACACCATATGACTAGGACTTAGGTCTCACACCAAACCAATCCAAAGAAGGAACACACAAGAAAACACAAGACGACTCAAAGCTCGACACAAGAAGCAAATCCCTACACTCTCTCCCCCTTAGGCAGCGAGACACCAAAAAGGGCATAGAGTGACACTACGACTCCAGGTGATGGGAGGGGAAGGTCTTGAACATCACATCTCTGCATCTTCATCGTGGGTCGAAAACTGCTCGGCATCGGAGTTGGTCCAGTGGCAATTCTGATGAATCCAGTCCTCCTCTTCAGTGATCTGACCCTCAGACCCACTGACAACAGTTGCTCCCATCTGACGCATGAGCTCCTTTGTGGCGCGTCCTGGCATGCTTCTCCGCCACATGAGTCATGTACTGACCATGAGACTCCATGCAGAAAAGCTTCTTCATCTTGCGCTTAAGCTTCTGTGCCCACGACGGTTCTGCACTAGAGGGGCCAAAGTTCTCCTCATGATCATCAGTAGGAGCCTCACCCTCGGTCCCCATGGCAGTAGCAGCAGCATCAGCAGACGGACCCCCTGTGGCAGCAGTAGCAGATGGACCCCCCTGTGTGAGGCGCTGTCCAGTTGTCCTTCTTCCTCAGACGCTTGATCTCATGAGACACCAAGTCTCCAGTCTCTAGCAGCACTCTGGGATAAGTCTGTGCCCAGGCCCTCTCAATGAGCCTCATGATGAATGGACCATAGATAGGATACTTGCGCTCAGACATGGCAGATAGAAGTTTAGACCACGTGACATGAGAGATATCCAGGCTCTATCCAGTGCTTGCTTCCTTCTCATGCTGACAGAAAAGGAGCATGTCCACGAGGTAAGAGTGGACCATATCCAAATTCCTGATCCGAGGGAAGAGAGTCTCACGGAATATGCGATGAAGAATGTCCAGATACGGAGACAGGTCATAGGTCTTCTTCTGAGTGACTGGGTGAACCTTCACAGTGCAGTAGGGCCAAAGGA